TCCTGCCCGGGCTGGCTTTGAACCGCGATCCTCAGATCTCAGCCTCCTGAGTAGCTAGGATTACAGGCGTGAGCCACCAGCGCCCGGCAGGCAAGCCCTTTTTGTGGACCATTCTTCCGTGAATCTTATCAGCCTTAAAATAATGCCATTGGGCTGGGAGGATGTGGCCTAGTCGTAGAGTGCTTACCTAGCATGCATGAAGCTCTGGGTTCCATTCCTCAGTACAGAAAAAGCTATAAGGAGCACTGCAGCTCAATCAGTAGAGTTAGCCTTGAGCAAAAGAAGCTCAGAGACAGTGCCCAGGCCCTGAATTCAGTTCCCAGGCCTGGCAAAAAAAAAGCCATTGGGTGTTAGTTTAGCTTACATAGTCTGATCTGTAGGACCACCCAGCCATCCATATTTTCATTTCTGCAGTCTATAATTTGGTACTAGATAGTCCAACAGAGGTTAAAAAAAATGTACAAGTGGCCAGGCACCAGTGGCTCATAGCTGTAATCCTAGCTACTCAGGTGTCTGAGATCTGAGGATTCCTGTTCAAAGCCAGCCCAGGCAGGAAAGTCTGTGAGAGTCATCACCAACTGACAATCAGAAAACTGGAAGTGTTGCTGTGGCTCAAGTGGTAAGCATTTGCCTTGAGCTGAAGAGCTGAGGGACAGTGTCCAGGCCCAGAGTTCACCCATGACCTACCCTCCCCCCCCAAAAAAAATGCACAAGTGATTGATTTTGAATTGAGTAATAAAATGGCTAATGTCTACCCATTGAATGTTTGACACAGAAAAGGAAAAGCTTCAAAATGAAAGAATTGCTAGAAAGCAGTGCCTTGGATATAAATATGACAGCCTGTTTTTCCCTAAAGGATTGTCCCATGATCATCTCCCTTTGTATTTGTTACTTAGTATTTCTGCTTACCTCAGTCATCTTGACAACTCTGTCCTTTTCTAAATGTTCTGATACTAATTTGGAATGGTGGTAATGGCCATGGGTGAGTGCCTTGCATAGAATAGAAATCTATATATAATAGACATAAAATGAGTAACAAATGGTGAAATGTACATCTCTATTATAAGGGATTATTGATTCCAAAAAAAAAGTTCCAACAGACTAAGTTCCTTGAAAGCTAGATTAACAATTATTAACATATGTGTCTCAGCCTTTTAAGTGTTTTATGTATAGTCAGAAGACATAATGTTTACAAAGCAAACATTTGTCACAGAAGAGCTTTTTTTGAAAAAACAAACGTCTAGCCCAGTATGGGTGGATCACACTTGTAAAGCTATCCCGGAGGCTCAGATCTAAGGATCATTATATGAAGCCAGACCAGACAGACATATCTAAGACACGTATATCCAGTTAACCACAAAAGCCAGAAATAGAGGTTTGGCTCAAGGGCCAGCCTTGAATGGAAAAGTTAAGAGTAAACTCCAACAAGGCCCAGTACCAGCCGGTACACATAGGGAATACATCCTATAGATATAATACATAATCAACTTTGTGCTTAATGTATACCAAAAATATCTCCATCTCTCCTGTCATTTTAAAATCAACAAACTCTTACTAGCTATATCAACTGATGTGGAAGCATGTCGTTAGAATGTGAGACAGGGATTATTCATTTTTATACAGCATAAGAACACTTTACCCATATCTCCAGTTAACTTCAGACAAGTAGAAACAAAAATAAGGTTTATTTCTTCGTTCCAATGATTGCTTCATGATTTTTTTCCAATTTTTTTTGGGGGGTCGGTATGGGGCTTGAACTCTGAGCCTGGGCGCTATCCCTCAGCTCTTTCAGCTCAAGGCGAGCGCTCTACCACTTGAGCTGCAGCACCACCTCCGGTTTTCTGAGTAGTTTATTGGAGACAAGGGTGTCATGGACTTTCCTGCCCGGGCTGGCTTTGAACCGAGATCCTCAGATCTCAGCCTTCTGAGTAGGATTACAGGCATGAGCCACCAGCGCCCAGCTTCCTAAAAGAATCTTAAAGCAAACTCCTGTTTCATCTATAATACACAATGGCTGGGTTTACAAATTCACTAAATAGCTTGGATGACTTGCTCTTGTTCATTTGCCTTTAGAAAGTAATTTCTTTTTTTCAAACCTGTATGGTAATTTCTGTGATGGTGGATGGTTTGCAAAGAATAAAATTATATTTCTGTCCTCAGCTTGAGGAAGCTGAGGATCACTGCCTTGCCTGCCATTTGGGCTTAGCATTATTGAAATTCAGTGATGGGTAAGGATAAATGAGAAGTCAAGAAGAACAACGGAGAGGGAATTGTGCAAAGTTTGAGATGCCTGAAGTGTACCCTGAAGTATCCCAGTTTGGATGATGTGTATGGCCACTTAGTATTTAGTCCACCTAGATTTCATAATTTGCTAGAGGTCTAAAGAAGCTTAAATGTACAAAGTTTTATTATGCTTGATTTTGAAAACTGATTTGGTAGTCCTTAATGCAAATGCATGAATCCTAGGCCTGGCTAGCTCTGGCACACCTATTAAAACATTTTTTTAGGTTGTGGCTCATACCTGTAACCCCAGCTTTTGTAAAGCAAGAGTTCTGGGGAGAATTGTGGTTTGAGGCTGTACTATGCAAAATGTTAGACCCCCATCTCAATAAGATAGGCCTGGTATGTGCCTGTAATTCCAGTAGAAGGCAAAAATAGGACCATGGTATAGGACAGACTCAACAACAAAAATCCCTGCTAAACCCTGTGGTGAAAATTAAAAAAAGAGCTAGAGGACTGGCTCAAGTGGTTGAACACTTGCTTAAGCAAGTGCAGTGCTGTGCTTTGACTTCATACCAGTACCATTCCCACAAGAAATTTTGTGCATTGGAAAATTTTGTGTTAAAACTTTTCACTTAAACTTTACTGAGAGGCAAAGGGCAGAAAGTGTTGAACTTGAAAAATATTAAAAAAAATAGTATGGAAAATTCAAATGGTTTTTACAGGGAGGCTATCTGGTGAAAATTATGGCCAGCAAAATTAGATATTGTAGCCAGGTGCTGGTGGCTCATGCCTGTAATCCTAACTACTCAGGAGGCTAAGATATGAAGCCAGCTCAAATGTCCTGCCTGTGGGACTGGAATCTCCAATTAACCACCAAAGCATCATAAGTAGAGCCGTGATCCAAGTTGTAGAGTGCTATCCATGAGCAAAAGTGCCCAGAGACAGTACCCAGCCCGAGTTCAAGCCCCAGGACTAGCACCGAAATAACAAAAATACTTAGACATAAAGAAGTTGATTTTTTTCTTGGGGGGGGGGTTGGTCGGTCGTGGGGCTTGAACTCTGGTCCTGGGCGCTGTCCCCTCAGCTCTTCAGCTCAAGGTGAGCACTCTACCACTTGAGCCACAGCACCACTTCTGGTTTTCTGGTGTTTTATTGGAGATAGGGTCTCATGGACTTTCCTGACCAGGCTGACTGTGAACCGCGGTCCTCAGATCTCAGCCTCCTGAGTTGCTAGGATTACAGGCGTGAGCCACCATCGCCTGGCTGAGAAGTTGATTTTGATTATATTCAAATTTTGGAGAAAACGAAAAAAGTGTGCAGATTCCTAGCACACGTTCTTAAATTCTGTGTACCACCTCCTCACTCGTGTGTGAATTTTATAGTGGATATAAACATACTCCATCACCAACTCCCCATTCTGAGGCCTCTTGTCTGTTTTTTCTCTTTAGTTTCCTGAACTCCCCACCAAATTTACACGAATCCAAATTAATGGGTAAAGGGAAGGGGGAAAGGGGGTTTTAAAATAGCAATAACATATTGGAAGGAAAGTTTTCTCCCATGTTACTGAGTTTCCTACGGTTGACTTATGTTTAGGTGCACTGATTGTGCCTGTTGTACCTTATAAGGTAATTAAAGCTTTTACATCTGTAAGTACATAATAGGAACACAGTGAGATCCCTGTGTCCATGGGGGTGAGAGTGAGCTGAATGGTGTTGGGAATGAAGCCAGTGATTGCTAGGCAAGTGCTCTACCCCCTGAGCTATGCTCCCAAACCAATAGGTTTTACTTCTTGACTGGAAAACAATTTAATTGCCTTCTAACTTGAGCTTATCTGCAGGCAACAGCAGACCCTTTATGCCTCTTTGATACTCTGGCAGTCCATCACAAGGACAGAAGATCAATTTCAGTTTCTAGTTTTTCTTGGGTAAACCTGACAATGGTTTCTGTACTTCATGACAACTATTTTATAATTAGGGAAAGTGCAAAGCCTCGGTTAAGAGTGACATCCATTTCTTACCGCTCCCTTTCTGCCTCCAGCACCTTTTGAACTCCCTATGTATAGTCTAGGTTATAAAGGCTAAACGTTTGTCTCATTTCTTATGGCATAGCACTGTGCTTGTCTGGCTTTTTGCCGGAGGTGCAAGGCCTACCCTTGCTGACTACCCAGGGTGTACAGATCTGAGCTACCCGCACCAGCGGCCCTGCACTTTTAAAAGACCCAATTCTTGACCCTTTCTAAACCTTTGCAAAGAAAACTTTTAAACAAGAACTCTTAATTAAAAGTTGGACAGAAATTCGGCCCCATTCCCCTTCGCTGCCAGGCTTAACAAAACCAAGGCTACTTCGGAGGCTCCAGAGCCGACTTGGGCGGCACTTGTGAAAGGCCTGCAGCCGGGACCCTTCGCCTTTAAGGGGTGGGCCGATTGCTGCGGCGACGGGGAGGCAGCGCGTGCATCCCTTTGCCAAGACAGTTCCGAAAGGAAGGCGTGATATTTCATATAAAGACCCGCCGCTTCCTGCGGCAGCCAGCTCTGAAGAAGAAAGGTCGCCCAGTCGCCCCACTCTACGTGGAAGGATTTAGGAATATGCGGCGAAAAGAATCCGCGGACAGAACCGGAAGTAGTTAGGGCGGCTCCGGTTGCGCAGGCGCAAGAACGCACGTCCTATTGGTGGTTTGGGTGCAGAGGCGCCGAGGAGGATCCCTTTGCGCATGCGCGCTGCAGCTCTTCCTGTTGCGTTGGAATGACGTCGTCGAACCGTCCCTCTAGTGTTTTCCTAGATGCCTGCGTCCCCGGACTCCATTTCTGGTAGCTACACGAGTTTTCCCTTCACCGTCGAACACCTGCTAGGAGCAGTGCTTCGTCCATGCTGAGTACCGAGCGGCTTTGGTAGGGTCGCTCTGTGGAGACAGTCCCCGTCCCCCCGCACCGGCGCCGCTCAGATGATCCACAGACCCAGCTCCGTCCCTTACAGATAGCCGACAGGGTCGTCTTGATGATAGTCTCACGCCTAAAAAGGGCGGGGGGAGTGAGCCCGCTGTCGCTGCCGATCCAGAAGTTACACAAAGCTGTGCTTTAAGCTTTTTAATCTGATGTTTTTTCATCTGTGAGGTTCAAGGCTGGACGCCTGAGGAACCTACTGTCTTGGAGCTTCAGGGTCATGGCAAGGAAGGAGCCAGGAAATGAAGCTCAGTTGGCGTTCTCGTCAGCCAGTCAGCGCCAAGAAGTACCTAAAAAAACAAACTATGCTCTCAAAAATACACTAGTGGGGCACGGGGCCGCAGTGTCTTCGGTTAAGTTTAGTCCTAATGGAGAATGGCTGGCAAGTTCTTCTGCTGATAAACTCATTATAATTTGGGAAGCATATGATGGAAAATATGAAAAGACACTATATGGTCACAATCTGGAAATATCAGATGTGGCCTGGTCATCAGACTCCAGTTGTCTTGTTTCTGCTTCAGATGATAAAACTCTAAAGATATGGGATGTGAGAACTGGAAAATGTCTGAAGACACTGAAGGGACACAGTAATTATGTTTTCTGCTGTAATTTCAATCCACCGTCCAACCTGGTTGTTTCAGGATCTTTTGATGAGAGTGTGAAAATCTGGGAAGTGAAAACAGGAAAGTGCCTCAAGACTTTGTCTGCTCATTCGGACCCAGTTTCTGCTGTTCATTTTAACTGTAATGGGTCATTGATAGTGTCAGGTAGCTATGATGGTCTCTGTAGAATCTGGGATGCTACATCAGGTCAATGTTTAAAGACACTTGTTGATAATGATAACCCCCCTGTCTCTTTTGTAAAATTTTCCCCAAATGGTAAGTACATTCTTACTGCAACTTTGGACAACACTCTTAAATTGTGGGACTACACTAGAGGAAGATGCCTGAAGACGTACACTGGTCATAAGAATGAGAAATACTGCATATTTGCTAATTTTTCAGTTACTAGTGGAAAGTGGATTGTATCTGGTTCTGAGGATAACCTGGTTTACATTTGGAACCTCCAGAGTAAAGAAATTGTACAGAAATTACAAGGTCATACAGATGTTGTGATTTCAGTAGCTTGTCATCCTACAGAAAACATCATTGCATCAGCAGCCTTAGAAAATGACAAAACAATTAAACTGTGGATAAGTGAGTATTAAGGTCTTTGGAAATCAAGTGCTAAAGCCAAGTTGGCAAAATACTTAGATGTTTGAAAACATGATTTCTCTGAATTTTGAAGCGGTTTTGTATTTCTTTTTAAATTAGCATTTTGTTGTAAGATTTTTGAGACTCAGAATTTACAAAATGAGATGGCTTCTGTAGCAATCGTGACGCTTGTTGGGCTCTCTCTGGACAGTTTCCAGTTCTGTTCCTCTGAGTTAATCCTAGCAGGTTGTTGTACTAGGAGTATTTGGAAGTAAGGTTGAGAAGATGGGATGACTGAGGGGATCATGTGAGTTTGCAGATTGTGGTCAGATGAATAAGCACATAACCCTTGGTTGGTAATGCCAGGATTGAAGGTACATGTCATATGATAGCATCACTCTTGGTGCTATTCTACATGATGGGATTCAAAAGTCTGTGGAATCAAGTCTGCCAGCCTGGTGAGACTGTTATAGTTAGGTTCATTCAAAGATTAAGAATGACCTCTAAATACCTTACTAGGCTGGGTTGTACTATCTTACAATTTTTTAGAGAAACTACATGTCTTGAATGATTAAGAATGCTCTCTTTTAGGACATAGTGACGCTCAAACTCAATTCAGAAATCACAAACACCATTACTGCCTGCTTCCCACCTCAACAGACAGCTAAATTGAGTTTTCCTGCTCTTTATAGCTTCTATTGTAAAGTTGAAAATGCATGTTTGCCAATCTATATTGTAATGATTTCATGGGCCATGTTTCCTATTAATAAATTTTGCAATCAGGAAATATATTACCTTTTTTGTTTTCTTCTTTTTGGTATTGAATATTGAACCCATGACCTTGCCCATGGTTAGGCTTTATTTATTTTTTTTGTAACAAACAATGTCATGAACTGTCTGGGCTGTCCTCAAACTCCAAGATCTTGCTTCCATAGTAACTGTGATTAAGGCTTACAACACCAGCCCTGGCAGAAAGTATATCTGAATTGTCTTTGTATTCTTGGTTTTTGTGTAAAGAATAGATTTAAATTTGATTAATGATTCAACTTTATTCCTTACCTGCTTTAGTAATGAAGACCTCAAACCATTATTGTATTGATTAAAAGCCCTACCCTCAAATACTAACTTCATTCACACAGGGCTTTCACAGGAAATATAAAGAATTATCCTTTAGCCAAGGACACCCAATAAACAGGTATAGTCACTGAAGGAAACAAAGCAAAACTGTGATCATGAAGTTTTATCTGCTAGCCAGGAGCTACAGCTGAAGCCAAGGCCATTCAATGAAGACTAGTCTTCACCATATACTGTTAACAAACTGCTTACGCCAAAAGAATAAAGCTTGACTCTTCTTTCACTTATGAAAATGAACTGAAAATAGACCACAGACCTAATGTAAGACGTAAGCCAAAACAAAACTCTTGGAAGGAAACATAAGATTAAGGTTTCTTAGATACTACACCAAAAGCATGAATAAAAGAAAACCTGGGTGCCGGTGGCTCACAATATTTAATCCTGATCACACATTTATTTCAAACTTTCCAGGAATTTAATATTCCGAGGAATATTAAAAGAAGTTTGAGAGACTCCATCTCCAACTGACTTAATAAAACACCCGGACTAACCAGGTATCGGTCTTTCACACCTGTAATCCTAGCTATTCAGGAAGTTGATATCAGAGAATTAGGTTCAAAGTGGCAGAAAATTAGGTTCAAAGTGGCAAACTAAACCATCAAAAATCTGGAAGTGGAGGTGTGGCTCAAGTGGTAGATGAACAATGTGAGTAAAAACATGGAGCAAGAAGGTGTATCCCGGGGCTGGGAAGGTGGCTCAGTGGCAGAGCGCTTGCCTTGCATGCATGAGGCCCTGGGTTCAATTCCTCAGCACCACATAAGCAAAAAGAAAAAAGCCGGAAGTGGCGCTGTGGCTCAAGTGGTAGAGCGCTAGCCTTGAGCTGAAGAGCTGAGGGACAGTGCCCAGGCCCAGAGTTCAGGCCCCATGACCAGACCCAAAAACAAAACAAAGAAGGTGTATCCCTGAAGTTCAAGTACCCAACTCAGCATGTATGCATACACACACAACACACACACACACACACACACACAGAACTAGAAGTCTGGCTCAAGTAGTAAAGCTCCTGCCAGGAATAAGCAAATTTGAATAACATAAGGCACTAAGTTCAGGCCTCTGAATTAAGAAAAAAAATAAAATCTAACGTTGTGAGAAGACATGTACTAATAAAGTATGATTGCTAAAAGGCAGATACATAAGTTATGTTGGAAGAAGTAGGATCAGTTAGGAACAAGTCTAAAATTATAGCCAAGAAGTTTATATTTAACCTATGAAGAGGTATACTCTGTATGTTACTGAAAACAGAATGATAAAAATAAGAAATGATTGCACAAATTAGTGGTACTTGGCAATGCAAATTATTGGTGCTTGACAACAATCATGAAATTTGGTTTAATGAAACATTTTTATTCCAATAAATCTACAAGATACAATATTAGAGTGTTTTCTTTAATAGGTAAAATGTTATTAGTTTATGCTTACATAAAAGAAGTACCCCATTAAAATTTTCCCATATTCAAAACACTAGCTGAAGGGTCCCAAAATAACAAGGATTATTAATGTAAAACATGCTTTTTGATAATAAATTTGCAAGTGATAAAAATCGAACTTGATACCTAAAGAGCTAAGAACAAATGACTCAAGTGTAGACACTGCCATTAACATCATCATCATGAGACTATAGCTAGTGTTATATTTTACCATCATCATCATGAGACTATAGCTAGTGTTATATTTTGCTGGATGATTTATTAAATTTTCCAAATAGCTGCAGAATATTCCATTTAAATCACTTGTAACTCAAAACTAGCATGTTTGGATGGCTGGGACTTGTTATCCATTAATACTAATGAGACATATAAGAATAAATCAAAAGTTGACAATGGAAATAGCATCTATACTTGAATGAGACAACTTGATAGCACAAAGCCAAAACTAAAAGAGATACATACTAAGCATAAATGCTTAGCTTCCAACACTAAGAAAAAATGGGATTTTGTTCCTAAATGAAAAATGTAGTTTCTCAGCAAGAAAAGGGTCAACTGTGATCTAAGCCATACAACTATGTCACTGCTGGCCTTAAGCAACTTTGTGATGCTATGATTTGTAAGTCAAAAAAATCCCAGCCAGACTCCTCCCTTATTGTTGCCAAGACATTTCAAGACCTGTTCTCATAGTTTCCATCTGCTCTGCTAGTAAGCTTCAAGCTACAGTGTGGTCTGGCTGCTTTTCAGGGCTCTTTCGGGAGTCAGCCTTTCCTACAAGTACTTTGGCATTTGGAAGGCTACCTTTCTAAGAGCTATCCAGGCAGTGTACTCAGGTGGCCTTCCTTATCCCTTCAGAAATAAACAGAAAACAAAAGAACTAGAAACTACTTTGGCCTCATTTTGGCAATGTGAATAAATGTAAAATGATACCTGGTTCTCTTCAGAAGCATTATAAAGTTGAAGTAAGTTGACTCATTTTCAACTTACTTTCTCAAAAAGCTAGATTATATTTTACTTGAAAGTCACAAAATATAAACAAGTCATTCTTTAAGAAAATTTATTTGTTCTTCTAGCAGAAATAGGAAAATGGTGAACGTTTGTGCAAAACATTTATGAAGTGAATCCTTGTACCACACCCTCTTTTTTTAATACAGGCTTGTTGCTGTAACATTATCCCTGGATTTTCAAATCCAGCCAACACAGACACTTCTGCTACTCTGCTTTGTCCTTTATAGCTGCTGCTTCCTCTCTCAGACGAGCTTTCTTTTCCAAGTTCAACCTTGTTAAAGACTCATTTCTTTTGACAGCCTAAAGTTGAAACAGATTTGCATAGGTGAGTACAGCAGCCAAATGAAGCACAAGAGAGAAGCACACATATCACCCTCTTTTCCCCTTCTACTTGGTTTCCTCCCTTCTCTTCCATTCTGCTTTATTTTAGATGTCTTCTCATTTCCATCTCCATCCCTTTTTGCTCCTTTCACTCTTGCCTTCCCAACTCATGTTTGCTTTCATGTCCTCTAGTTCCTTCTCTCTTAAACATTCAACTTTGGAAATCCCAGATTCCCAAAATATTAGCACTGATGACTTCCAGCAGTGTCTATCCCACAGCTCCACCCTCTGAACAAACAGTAGCAGAGGAAGCACCCATGCTCTTCCCTTGCTTCCCTCTGCTTTCTATGAAGCCTACATGAACAGCCAGTAAGAAAATTTTTATGTCAACTAAGTGAATCTAACAACCATACAGCTTGGTATTTTCTTATGTCTTTTGTCATTTCACATGCAATGTGAAGAAGAGAATGGAAATGGGAACTTGATGGTAAGGAAAAACAATAATCTCTCTTCCAAACTGCATTAAGTTCAAGCCCAGTACCATGCTTGTAATCCTTTACCATTCAGGAGGCCAAGATCTAAGGATCAAGGTTAAAAGCCAGCGCAGTCAGAAAAGTCCATGAGACTCTATTTCCCATTAGCCACCAAAAGCTGAAAGTGGACATCAAGTGCTAGTCCCGAGTGAAGAGCTAAGGGACAATACCCAAGCCCTGAGTTCATGCCTTAGGACTGACACCAAAAACAAAAAGGGAAATATTAAGTTCAAAAGTTCATTCTAATAGCATTTGTCAACTTTTTGGAAATGCAATTCCACAGAAGATACAATGCTACAATTGCATGGTACAGACAGGAAAGGAGTTCTCCAAGGTACACAAATTATATCTTCAGATGACATTAGAACCTAGGGGAAGAACTAACTCATGGAGTTTTCAACTCAGCAAGAAAAACTGAGTATACAAAAGCAACACAAATTCCTCAGAATTCGAGAAACCCCTGTGTCCTGTCCACCGGCTTCTGTAGGTTTCAGTTTGAGTGTCATGGATGAGAAGTCAGTGAGAGAAACAGGAACAGAGGTTTAAGAGAACCTCACCCAGGTCAGCATACTTGCCCCTTTGTACTCCTATGAGAACTGCAAGACTCTAAAGACAGCCAAAAGTTTATTTCCTTTTACTCAAGTCACTGGGAATAGGGAGATTAGTTAAGAATCTGTGTGAAGCAGAATCTTTTTAATTTCCGATTAGAGATGGAATTAAAAGAAATGTTTGTCTTAATACTAATACTAAATACAGCATGAAGTTTGATAATACGAACACTTGAGTTTTTATCTCACTATTCACTAGCTATGTGAATTTGGGGAGAATTCTTGAATGTTTCTAATTCCAGTTGCTCCTTTATGAATTATGGTAATAAAAGACTCTACCTTTCAGGTTGTTAGGGTTATGGTGAGTAGTTTGCAGTTCCTGCTTACATGGTAAGCACTCAGAGACAGGGTCAAGTCTACTTATATATTAGATAGACATCTAGGTTCAAATTGTGGTTCTACCATTAGGGAGATGTGGCTTTGGGCAAATTTTCTTTTTCTTTTCTTTTTTCTTTTTGTCGATCATGGGGCTTGAACTCTGGGCCTGTGCACTGTCCCTCAGCTCTTCAGCTCAAGGCAAGCACTCTTGACTCACAGTGCTACTTCCGGCCTTTTCTGCTTATGTGGTGCTGAGGAATCGAACCCAAGGCCTTATGCATGCAAGGCAAGCACTCTACCACCCACCTTCCCAGCCCCAATTATAATATTCATTAAGTTTCTGAACTTGCATTCCTGTATACTGCTCAGGAACTACTGTCCTTAAAACATATGGCCCAGTTTTGTGGAGCTTTAAAGAACCATTGCTCAGCATATAAAGCTAGGGCATGGGTCATATGGCTGAGTGCCACCTACCCTGTGCAAACCCTCAGTTCAAGCCCCAGTAATAGTAATAATAAATAAGTTGTAGACTAGAAGTGGCTATGTAGGTGGTGTTTGTGTTTGTCATTGTATCAGTTGCATGTGTTCTTTTACGGCTTAGATTCAAAATTGTGAAAAATGTATGCATATTCTTAAAAAGGAAAGCTAAAAAGCTACTATTAAAGATTTTAAATATGTTCTTTTAATAAAAACAACATTTAGGTAAGTAAATTATTGATATTTTAAAATTAATACAAAAAAAAAGCCAATAATAAGAATGCTCACTGAGGGCTAGACATTTTAGTCAATGGTAGAGCACTTGCCTAGCAAGCATGAGGAACTGAGCTCAAACTCCAGTACCATCACACACACAAAGAATGTTCACCATGATTAAGGGACTGATAGTGAGAGTAAATAAATCTGTGGTTATTAAATATGTGAGTGTCATATTTCTTTTTCATTTTATTTATTATGTAGAGGTGATAACACTTTTTACTTTACAATAAACAATCAGTCCTTCTTGTTATTATCCCCAGGCATAATATCTCAGGTTTGTCCTGCTCTGTCTCACTTGTGTCCTGGCAGTTTTAACACAAAAAGTGGCTTCCTCTTCTCAACACAAGGGTCACCCTTGCTTTCACCCCTTGCTCCATGGAGAACATGCAGACATGAGGGCCCACTCTCACCTTCTTGCCCTCAATAACCATCGCGATGCATCCTGCCACTGTCAGCGCAATCATTAGATAGCTGACCTTCACGCGGACTTTGTTCTTTGCAGCGTCAAGCATCTCAAACCTAATAATACAATGTGGCCACGAGAGGTTATTAAAAGCTGTGCCTCCTCAGCCAGGAGTGGAATGGTGTTTATAAAAGAAAAAAGAAGGCGGGACCTTATAGCAACACGGGGAAGATGAAATGTGTTCACAACTCCATCACAACAAGACAAGACAGATCTAAAGAGATAAACTCCTTATTGGAGTAGGATGATGTGGGGTGGGAGTGGGGAGTAGTTTCTCCTTCTCAGACCCCTCCTGTCCAAGATGCCAGTCAATCAGTTCTTTAGCATGAGCCGGAAGCACTGCTTCTGTGGGGGTGATCACTGCCCTCCTTGGGGTGGAGGGAACACTTGGTATTGCCTGGAGATATTCTTGTCAACACTCTGAGAGTGGTGCTGGCATCTTAGAGGGTAGAGGCAGAGGCCAGGAATGCTGCTAACCATCCTCCAATACACAAGATAGTCCTCCAGAACAAAGAACATTCAATATTGCTAAGGTTGAGAAACTCAGGGTTGGAGGAAACTGTAACCATCATTTCCAAATAATGAAAAAGTCAAATCCTAGCCAATACTTGGTTTATGGATGTTGGTGGCAAGAGGCATTTTTTCTGAATTCTAGAATGGGAATATGTTACGGTGTTTGTCAGGCTTCCATCACTTATAACTAATACCTGGAACAATCAACTTAGAAAAGGTTACTGGGGCTAGTGGCACATGCCTGTTATCCTAGCACTCAGGAAGCTGCGGCAGGAAGATTTGAATTTGAGGCCAGTCTGGGTAATATTTCAGAAGGGAAACAGACAGACACACACAGAGATTATTTTGGTTCAGCTTTCAGACCATTTTTTTTTTTTGCCAGTGGTGAGGCAGAACGTGGCAGCAGCATGTGGGGGAACAAAACTTCTCACCTCATAGGAAGCAAAGGAGAAAAAGAGAATGAGATTAGGCCTCTATAAGGACCCAAAGCCCTTCCCTTTATGTTTCTAACATCTCCCAATAGCACCAGCTTGGAAACCAAGCTTTTTTTTCCCCTCTTAACACATAGGCCTTTGGGATGGTCTGAGAGCCAACCACAGAGGATGCACTGAGATATTCATGCTCAAGCCTTGAATAGAGGTGCCACCCCAAAGCTAAAAAAAAAAAAAAGCAAACATCCTGTTCAGTCACATTTCTGAAGGTAGGAGATCAAACAAAAGCACAGCTGGGCTGGGGAATGTCTGACAGCTGTTCACTAGTCACTATATAACATAGGATGAAGAGGTTTTTTTTTAACTTTTTTTTTTTGTCTTTTCTTTTTTTTGGTACTGGGGATCGAACCCAGGACGTTGCACTTGCTAGGCAAGCGCTTTGCCGCTGAGCTACATCCCAGCCCAGGATGAAGAGGTTTTCCAGCAGTTTTTGTTCTGGGTACTTCCCAAAGACAAAACATTTAAACAGAACTCAGGGGCACACTGTTTTTTTCTTAAAGTAGATGGGTGAGAAAGGAAAGCAGCTTACAACCTAAGCTCAGCACTCACGAGATAGTCTCTGGGATTTCATCTGCCTTTTTGAAGCGACCTGACCATATTAGGATCTTCTTCTCCCAATCCGTGGGTTTGTGTAATGGCACTCTGTGGCTGTACATGTCTGTAAGAGAAACCAGACAAGATCTTACTTGAGATTGTAACATGCAAACTGCACAACAAAAACGTGCTACTTGTACTTTTCAGCCATTTATTAAACAGAAACACTGTAAAAGTTTGAGCTAAAGATTTATTTGAACAGAATTTCTTTTTTTTGTCAGACATGGGACTTGAACTCTGGGCCTGGGTGCTGTCTCTGAGCTCTTTAGCTCAAGGCTAGCACTCTACCACTTGAGCCACAGTGCCACTTCTGGTTTTCTGAGTGGTTTATCGGAGGTAAGAGTCTCACAGACTTTTCCTGCCTAGGCTGGCTTTGAACTGTGGTCCTCAGATCTCAGCCTCCTGAGTAGTTGGGATTACAGGCTTGAACCACTGGCGCCTAGCTGAACAGAATTTCTTAAAAGTGCCTTGTTTTTCCAATGGGCACTAAAGAAAAATAAAAGCCCTAATATAAATGCTAGTGGCTGAAATGTGAAAGAACACCATGAGCAGATGGTAGGTACAGAGAAACTAAGACGGGAGAGTGAAGAGCTTCCTAATGTGGATAGAATAAGAAAAGGTTGTAAGGTTAGACTAAAGAAACCTGGAACACCAACCTAAGGAGTTTGGACCTGTTTAGGGAAATACATTTTGAATCAAGAAAGCAGATACTGTTTAATTTGCACAATGAATCAAATAAAAGAAGGAAAAGTTCAGACAGGACCTATAACACAAGGGTGAGGCGATGTGTTCTGAATCAAAGGTGTAGCAATAGGAAGAGAGAAGAGGTCAGTCTAAGGATAACTAGAAGACTGATTAAGTTAAGGTTAAAAAAATCACAAAGAACCTCAAACTCAGAAGATTAAAATAATAGCAGTCCTCTTAGGTAAGATATTATGAAGAGGACCAGTTAGGAAAGGAATGAACACAAATACCATTCCAGTCTAAATGGAATTCATGTCATCCGAGTAGGTCCTGTTAGTTAAGTGATAAGTAGAGAGAAGGCCAAGGTTGAGCTGTGGGACATAGTTCAGGAAATCAGACAGCAGAAAGCGGTAGCAGAAGGAAATGGAAAAAGCCAAGGAGGCAGGTGAACAGGAAAAGTACCAAACCGCAGACTGTAATGGACAAAGAATCTTTTGAAAAAAAGGAAAAGTCATGCAAAGAGTAAAAAAAAAAAAAAAGAGGGAATTACAGAACATTCGTGTTAGAGGAGATGTTAGATAATCTCAACTTAGTTTTACCCAATGCCTACGTCCCTCTTCCAGAAAGACCATCTCCTTCCCCATTCTTTTCCACCACACCTTTGCTTCCATTTAGTTAGAAAACAGCCAAAAGGAACAGAAAAGTCACCAGGAAAAACAATACAGAAAGAACCAAAGGCAAAACAAGAAGTTTACAAGTACAGAAATAGTACTACTATGTCTGAAAGTCTTGTCAATTGTCTTATAATGGCTTTATAGCTTCTTTTTCCTTAAAGATGATTCAGAAGTATACATATGAAAAAAGTGCTATCCACAATTCTACTATCACATAACTATTAAGTTTTAACTTTGGTATGCACCTTAGTTTTATCCCCATGAGCTTGTGTCTGTGTGTGTCTGTGTGTGTGTGTGTGTGTGATGCTTATGCTTAAACACAATATAAAATGTTGTACCCTGCTTTTTCCATTAATGAAATAAACATCTTCTATATTAGCACATCATACTCATTATAAGCCTCATTTCTTCTAGCTGTAATATCAAGTAGACCTAACAAATTATTTATCATTCCTGGACTATTACATGTTTAGATACATTCTTGATTTTCCACTCTGTACATAATTGGAAAAAAGCAATAAACTTACTGGTTGTAGCTTTGGGACTTTCCTGTGGTTTGGTGCAAAATCCATTGAACCCCTTGAGTTCAGAGTTTCTGGTAAACCTTATAGCAGAGGAAGCATTTCGTTCATATAACTGGAAACAATTTCCTAGAAAAGAGAAAAAAATTGTTTCAGAGAGAGAATATTTCATATGTTTTCCAAGATGAGAAACATCTTCAAGTTTTATACTTATAAAAATCAGTTCATTTGCAAAATAAAAAAATTAATTTGGTTAAAATTACTGTACTATACAATATATAAGATATTTCAGCTGGGCACCAGTGGCTCATGTCTGTAATCATAGCTCTTCAGGAGCCTGAGATCTGATGATCACTGTTCAAAGCTACTCCAGGTAGGAAAACCTGTGAAGATTCTGGCTCAAGTGATAGAGTGCTAACCCGAAGCAAAAAAGCTCAGGGACAACACCCAAGTCCTGAGTTTAAGCCTTAGGACCAGCACACACATATATACACAAAAAATAAATGAACTGTGGAATGTAGGATATGTAACTATTTAACCACTTAAGTACTATGTTTAGTACTGCTATAAAATATAAATGCTTTGCTCTTAGAAAGTTAGAAATGTGCAATACTAACATTGTAGTAGCAGTAAATTGTATGGTATGTATTCCTCACATATCTTGACATGATAACAATTAATCTGGTGGTAGCACTATATACTATGGCATCTAGGCTGTTTAGTATAAATCAAGTCACCATGTATACTTATATTTACATATAAGTATATAAAGCTATATGCCTATTATACTTTTAATATATAGCTTTAAGATAATCTGTTTATATGTGAATATATAGTTTATTTTTAAAATTTAAATTCAGAGTATTTTAAATCTCTATATAACCATCATCCAGTTTCAACAATTATCAATATTTAGGCAATATTGTTTTATCTAAATATAACTACCCCCTGTCCCTTAATGGACTATTTTAACATGAATCCCAAACATTAATTCTTCCATAAAAATTGTCCCAAAATTTAACTTTCCAAATTATATTCCAGAATGCCATTAATATAACAAAAGGTATATCCTGAACTTCAGCACAATATGATCAAATCATACTAACAATGAATTTCTGAAATAGGCTCATTTTTAAAAAATATTATTCTAGGGAATGTAGCTTAGTGGTAGAGTGCTTGCCTAGCATGCATGAAGCCCTGGGTTCGATTCTTCAGTACCACATAAACAGAAAAAGCTGGAAGCAGTGCTGTGGCTCAAGTGGTAGAGTGCTGGCCTTGAGCACAAAGAAGCTCAGGGACAGTGTCCAGGCCCTCAGTTCAAGCCCCAGGACTGGAAAAAAAAATATTCTAACTACTGTATACACTAAATATGGTTGGTGTTTCCTGAGTTTCTTTAAATCCTTTAAATTTTTATATCCATTTGCTGAAGAAATTAGGACCCTAAGTCCTATAGTTTCTGTTACTTTGGATTTTGCTGGACGCATCTCCATGATGTACTCTAACATATTCTTCTTACTCCTCTACTTCTTAGAACACAACTTTGGTGCTTGATATAATCAAGTTAGAAAGCCAGGTCTGGTGACACACATCTGTAATGCCAGTATTTGGAAGACTAAGAAGGGCTACCTTAAATGAGTTCAAGGCCAGCCTAAGAAATATAGTGAGACCATATCTCAAAACCACACAAACAAAAGTTTTAGTTTCTTAGCAAGGTACAAGTGGTATACTGTGTACTTACTTCCTATTGTACTATATCAAGACCTGCATAGCAATTTTGTTTCATTTAGTGATATTAAATTTGACAGGAGGTGCTATCAGCCTGATTTAGTCCTTATAAAATTCTTCATCATCTAATATTTTTATCAGCAAGGCTCCCCCCCCATTGCTCCATTATTTCACCATCATTAGGGGTTACAAAATTGTAGTATTCTTACCACATGATTTGGTTAGTCTAAGATACAAGAAGATAAGAGATATGTAAAGTGTTTCTATTATTTGTATGTTTTCAAATTAATGAGATGATTTCCTTGCAACCTCCATAGGTAATCTTCCATGTGAAAGTAGTACAATGAACTCTTGCATATTTGTGTGTGTGTGTGTGTGTGTGTGTGTGTGTGTGTGTGTGGCTGGAACTCAGGGCCTAAACTATCCCTGAATTTTTTCACTCAAGGCTAGCACTCTACCTAAACCACAGCACCACTTTCAGTTTTCTGGTGGTTAATTGGAAATAAGTATCTCGTGGACTTTCCAGCCTGGACTGGCTTTAAACCAACCATGATCCTCAGATCTCAGCCTCTTGAGTAGCCAGGATTACAGATATGAGCTACCGACACGCACCTAACTCTTGCATTTTAACTTGTGATGTATTCCTATCTATAGTTTTTGCTTATGTGCAGCACACCAGAATCAATGCAGAAATAACATGAATCAGGAGTTTTTTTTTTTAAGTTCTCTGGTCTTTCCTGAAGCAATGTGAACAATCTTGCACATATTCCTGACCAGACATGTGAGGGCTTTTCACATATCACAATGGGCATCACATTTCCCGTCTCCCTTTTAAATGTTTCATCTGCTTCTTGTCTGACTCACCTATTTATTACCACCTTCTCCAAGATATATTAAACAATACTGCTGGTAATTTTGAACAAATGCCTCAGGGAACAAGTTGTTTGTACAGAATCAAGTGAAGACTTATCTGTGTGGATGAGGAAGGGTGGTGGTGGTGGGTGTCTGTGTCTGAGATTGGCCAGACAAATAAAAAATAAAAACAGTAACAAGTGTATGGGATTTGGGGGAGTGGGGAGCTTCAAACTTATTATTCTTTCTCCAAACCCTTCTAAGTAGTTACTAAGCTAAACTAAGTCACTGGTCTTAGTAACTTCTGTGATTCTGAAGCTGTCAGTCAAGGCTACTAAGAAGCTAAGAGAAGATGGGAATGATGCAAGTTAAAAATAAGAGGCACTTAAAAACTTATTTTATTTTAGCTGAGAAACAATCACCCTACTTAGAAACCACATGTTAACTTGGAGCAGGATAAAGGCTAGGCATCCCACATTCCATTTTGTATGTATGTCTTTTGTCTTGCAGTCTCTTTAAAGCCATGTCGGAAGGCAGGATACTACAGGCAATGACTTGTAACAAGGTCTCCCTTGGCCAGCCCTGAAACATACTGTCAAGAGTCCAGATATAACCTTGGGACTGTTTTAACATTACATATGTTCTCACTCCCTATCCTCAATTCTCCCTATTTAGCTTAAAGCAAATGTCTGTACCCTTGAAGATGGCTAAAAGGTAGTAAGTATTTCTCTGCCCTTTACCCTGTCTCTTTATTTGGCAGATAGAAGTAATTGGCCAGCCCTGACACGTGAAACTCCTGAAGTTTGGGCCCCAGGTTAAAAGCTCAGGTTTTAAAACTACTTAAGACTTGCTATTCCTGAGCTGGGAATGTGGCTTAGTGTTAGAGTGCTTGCCTAGCATGCATGAAGCCCTGGGCTTGATTCCTCAGTACCATATAAACAGAAAAAGCCTGAAGTGGTGTTATGGCTCAAATGGTAGAGTGCTAGTCTTGAGCACAGAGAGGATTAGGGGCAGTGCCTAGGCCCTGAGTCCAAGCCCCAGAACCTGAAAAAACAAACAAACAAACTAGCTATTCCTAACATAGTTTGGTCATTTTTCTTGAATAAATGCCCCTCAGATCACTGTACACCTCTGATTGTTTTCAGAGTTCTGAAAAAAAAATTGTTTTTTTTTGACAATTTTGGTAATGTTTTAGTTTTATCTAGAAATGGATTTTCAGAGGTGTTTATCTTGATGATACTGAAGTTGGCACCTCTCTCTAACTGTGCAATGACTGCTGGTTACCTGCAGTATGATTTATTCCGAAGGCCTTATTTTTGTTTTCTATGTAACCAAAACATTGGTGCCATTTAGGGGTAACAGGTTTACAGTTGCTTTTAGCTTGTTTCTCATTTTACATGTAATAATGTAGGGGTGGAGGTGTGACTCACATGGAAAAGTGCTTGCCTAGTTTGCATAAACAGGCCCTGAGTGCAAACCCAATTCCACAGGGATAAGTGCAATAATTACTGCAGAAGGCTGAGTTAAGGGTTAAATGGAAAAACAAACATGGGACTGTCTGCTGAGATACTTGAAACACAGACACTGAAGATTTGGTTCAATTTCTAACATTACTTAAAATACAAATCTTCAAACACTTCCAGAGTACTTCTCAACTTTACCCTGAAGGTGGCCCAAACTTCTGATAGAAGTAATTGCACAGTTGTGAGAACATGGGAAAAGCCTTTGAAGTTCTTCAATAGTTCTGGAGAATAATTTTTGTTGTTGTTGTTGGTCATGGGGCTTGAACTCTGGGCTTGGGCCCTATCCCTGTGCTCTTCAGCTCAAAGCAAGTGCTCTACTGCTTAAGCCACAGCACCACTTTCAGTTTTCTAGTGGTTTATTGGAGATAAGAGTCTCACATACTTTCCTACCCAGGCTGGCTTTGGACTGAGATCCTCAGATCTCAGCCTCCTGAGTAGCTAGGATTTCAGGTGTGAGCCACCGGCACCGGGCTAAGATAAAAATTTTTATAGTTCTTATTCTCATATACATATATTTGACATCTGTGATAGGATATATATTTCCTATGACTATAATGAATATGGTATGCCTATCTGTTAAGACACAACACACTAGTCCACCTACTCTTAATTGACAGTTTGGAGTACATGTAGGGAATTTGTGAATTTCTCTCTTCTCAGTTGTCAGGATTTGGACTCAGGGCCTTAAGCTGGCTCTGCTTGCTTGCTGAAATTGTTATTAGGTTTGTTAGAAATCTGTATTTGAGACTAGACGAGAATCATAGGTTTTCTTCTGCCTTAAATTGTGGTAAAATATGTATAACATAAAAATATACCAACTTGAGGTAGGTGAATATCAGCAGGAGAGGGGAAAGGCTTACAAAGAAGAATGTGGTCATTGTCTTTTTCTTGTTTTTTGTTTTTAAGAAGAGAGAGTGGGCTGGGAAGGTGGCTCAGTGGTAGAGTGCTTGCCTAGCATGCATGCAGCCCTGGGTTTGACTCCTCAGCACCACATAAACAGAAAATGCCAGAAATGGTGCTGTGGCTTAA